CAAGGAAAATTAATACTTTGAACTAAATTAAAATAAAAACACAACATATAAAAATCTGTGGAATTCACTTAAACCAGACTTACAGGGAAATTTATAGTAGTTCTAAATATACCTTAAAAATTAATATTCTAAATTTCTAACTAACTAAAAAAAAAAAGCTAAGAAAAGAACAAATTGAGACAAAATTAAGTGAAGGAAGGGGGGAAAAAACCCCATCAAAATAAAATAAGAAAATCAATGAAATAGAAATATTAATAAAATAAAAGAACTGTTTCTTTGAGAAGACAATTAAAACTGAACAGATCCTAAAGATATTAAAAGGATAATAAAGGAATATTATAAACAGCTTTATTTTAATAAATTAAAAATAATAGCCAGACTGGCTCAGTGATTGAGCTTCAACTTATGAACCAGGAGATCACAATTCAACTCCAGTTCAGGGCCCATGCCCTGGTTGTGGGCTCAATCCCCATAGCGGGGCATGCAGGAGGCAGCTGATCAATGATTCTCTCTCATCATTGATGTTTCATCTCTATCTCTATCTCCCTTCTTCTCTGAAACAAATAAAAATATATTTTAAAAACAAACAAACATAGACACAAAGGACCAATTCCTTGAAAGACATAAACTACCAAAGGATACTCAGGAAGAAATAAATAGGCCTATATCTAGTAAGGAAACTGAATCTGTAATTTTCTGACAAAGAAACTCCTTGCCCAGATGGCTTCATTGCTGAATATCAACCTTTAAGGGAGAAATAATACCAATTCTACATAAACTCTCCCAAAAGAGTAGAAGAGAGGGAAACACTTCCCTCTTCTTTTATGATGCCCAGAGATACCAAATCTAGAGAAAGATATTACAGAAAACTGCAGATCAACATCCATCATGAACATGGAGGCAAAAATCCTTAGCAAAATTTGAGTAAATCAAGTCCAATAATGTATTAAAATTATAATAATCAAGTAACATTTATCCTAGGAACATTACATTGGTTTAATATTCAGTATTATTTTAATTCACTATTTTAAACTAAAAAAGAAAAAGCATAAAACAATTCAAAAGATGTAATTCAACACAATTCATAATAAAAAATCTCATTGTTTTAGGGGCAGATAAGAAAATTCACCACCTGATAGTGTGGGTACCTATTAAAAATATGCAGTCTAGCCATCCTACTTACTGATAAAAAAAACTGAGGGCATGACAAGACTGGGAAAAAGGTAAGAAACCTTTTTCCCCTGACAAGACTGGGAAAAAGGTAAGGCTGACTTTTCCTACCACTCCAAAACAAAGTAGTAGAGGTCCCAGCTAATGGAGTAAGACAAGTAAAAGAAATAAAAGGCATATAGATTGCAAAGGAAGAAGTCAAATCTTTGATAATACTCAACTGGTTTTCCATCCCAGTACACTTGAAGAACACAATATGCTCCCCTCATTAGTGACCACAATTCATTACCAAGGTGATTTTATTGGGCCATGTCTTACCTAGTCCATGTGTATTGTGGGGGAGGGGTCAAAGCATAGGCATGTATACAACTGAAAAAAAGCCTTTGAAAATCTCTAAGGATGCAACCAAAAGCCACAAAATGAATTAGATCATCAAGCAAGAATTTGAAATCAGGGAGGGTCTACCTGAGAATCATATATAAAAAGGGAGGACTCACAGGATGAGGAACCAGAGGAGATGAAGGAAAGTGGCTATAGAGGTAAGAAAATAAGGGGAGTAGGGTGCAGGGAAGGCAGAAAATTGAGGCAATTCACACCTGAGATCCTCAAGTTCTTCCATCTGGGCCATCTTCCTCATTTACATTCTTGCCAGGCCCCTGTTGGCAATGGAGTTTGCAACTTGTAGAGGAGCTAACAGCAGCTTGAATATTAACAAATCAACAGGCACTTACCAAGGGGACAAAGACGAGAAAAGCTCCCCAATCCAGGGAGAACTGTGTATGCCAAGTTCATGTGTGGGAAAGGGTATTTATTTGGTGTGTTTGTGTGCACGAGGAGGAGGGAGAAGTGAGCAGGAAGAGCAAGGAAGCAAATGAGATGAGGCTGGGTCTTGCCATGGTCTTGAGCAGGGAAAATCAGACTTGTTTTTAAAGAGGCTCAGACAAAAGCAATGAGAACTGGCTGGAAGTGGGAAGAGCAGGCTGCACCACTGTCTAAGCAGGGCAGGATGAGGGCTTCCAGCTGTGGGATGGGGAGGAGTGATTGGACAGAGGAAGCACATACAGGCTGGGGAAGTAGAATGTGTGGATGGAGAACGATGTGGTGACAAATGGCATCTGATCATAGTACTACTACCAACCACCAATACTCTCTGTACACCTCCTGTGCCCATCCAGCATGTCACCAAATTCTCCCAACCACCCCTGAGGCAGGCATGTCTATCATCTCCCTATCCCCAATAGGGAGGCTCAGTCTGTTGTCCAGAAGTTTTCCCAGCTGGCACAAGGCTGAGGTCCCGATTTAAGTCCAGGAAGGATGGTTCTTCAGGGCCATGCTCTTCCCCCATTTGGCCCATTAGGGAAGACCATGAATATGGGAGTGAGGGATGAAGGACCCGAGGAGGAGTATCAAGTTCTACAGGGGACCAGGTCCTAAGGAGAAAGGCTGGAGAAGTTAACTTTGAGTCTTACTACATAGTGGAGCTGAGCTGTGGAAGGGAAGGAGAGGACACAACCTGGGACCACTATGTACGAAATAAGTGGGAGGAGAGGCAGGAGTGACACAGGAAGGGAACTAGGAAAGACACGGGAGTTTTAATTCTAAGACATCCTGTGATGTGGGAGCCTCCCCAGATCTCCAGGGCCCAGACCCTGCTGCCTCACCAGCCTCTTGGCTACCCCTCCAACATGCCCTCCCCTATGCTACCCACCACTCTCAATACTACCTCGTTACCTTGTGCTGTTCAAAACTATTTCTCCTTAAACTTTCTATTGACGTATAATCCACTCATTTTTTCAATATTTAAATATCAGTACTGCCAAGTGTTCAATACCTTCACTGTTCCACTAAGAAATCAGTCATTCCTTAAGCCTAGGTTAGGCCCCTTATACACTCACTCATTCCACACATTTTTGTAGCACAGAAAGTGGTCAAATTAATCACTTCCAGTACACAAGTTACAGACTATGTTTCTCCTACTTGTAGGTCAGGTCCATGAAGGCAAGAACCAAGTTTATCTACATCAGGAGCTGGTAAACTTTTTCTGAAAAGGGGAAACAGTACATATTTTCAGCTTTTTGGATCATAGGGTCTTAGTCACGACTATTCAGCTCTGCCACTGAAGACCCAAAGCAATGGAGACAGTATGTGAATAAATGGGTGTGACTGTGTTTCGATAAAGCTTTATTTACAAAAACAGGAGGTGGGCCAAAGGACTATGGTTTGCTGATCCCAGGTCTCAGTCATCAGCAGCCATTTTAGCATCTGGCCTATAGTAGGCACTTAGTGAACGAATAAAAAAAAAAAAAAAAAAGCCCTTAGTTATGGTAGTTAGACAGGAACAAGATTCTCAGGGAATGTGGTTTTAGTGGAATGTGGAGGTGGAATTGAGATAACAGTGGTTTGAGGAGTGAGCAGCAGTTGAGGAAGTAGTAACTTCTCTTTCAAGAGCCTACAATTTGAGCATTAGACTTGGGTACCGGTACTCTCTTCACAGAGCATGTTTGCATGCTATGAGAAAGCAGGGCTGGGGAAGAAAGGGGAGAATTGATGAAGAGGACGGCTTCGGGGCTCAGGTGTGTGGGCAGCTGGTCATGAAGGAAGAAGATACTTCCTGAGGCTGAGGAAACAAGGAAAGGTGGAAGGAAATAAGGGGAAAGCCTTGTGCAGTATTCCCTTTTCCTGTGAAATGTGAGCCAGGAGCACATGGTGAGTTGAGGAGAGGGGATTGAGGAGGTTAGGAACCCCACATGCGTCAGGCTGGGAGGGCGGCAAACAGAGAAGAGTGGATGCCCAGGACAGGGCTTCGAGGTGCACAACTGCTGGAAACACACCCTTCATTTTTCTCTCATTTGAGGGAGCTCTTGGCTCCTCCAGAGCTGTGTCTGCAGCTCTGACTAGGTGTCAGGTGTGTCACTCATTGAGTCACCAGCACTCCTTGCTATCACTTCCTGTCCTTTCACTGTCCCGTGCAGGTAGCAACAGGCAGGACCTGAGGACAATGAGGTCATGCCACAAACATGCTCTAAACAGTTCTGTTTTTGGGAGGATACTGAAAGGCATTTGAATTTCGGAAAGTCGGTGGTGATTTCATCTCCGGGCTTTCATATGTGTATATACATGTAGTGAAACATTTCTCTACCACGCAGAATAGCCTTTCTCTTTAAATGGAAGAAACCATTTGATTGGGGGTTTGCAGTAAAAATAGCCTAACAGCTCTTTAATTTCCCAAGCCTAACATAGTACTAAAACCTATAAAACACAACTCATAAAGTATAAATAGTACGATATTTGAATACCTTGAGGTTTTTCTCTAAGTCAAACACCAATCGCTAGTCAATGTCACTTATCCAAAGAACCAGATACCTTAAAAAAAAAATCTTACATGTCAACATACATTTATCAATTCATTAATACTACCAGAGCAAGAATACATGGATAGGGTTTGGGTCCCATTTTACTTTTCAGGAAATATGAAAATCATCTAAATACCTTTGGTTGACATGCCTGAAAAGATAGTATCAGTATCCACACCCATTTCTACCTGCCATATTTCAAGGTGTAATTGCTGTTGAGATATAGATTATATGTTCTATGCATATGCTAGACTTTAATTTATACTTTCATTTTGAAGTTTCCACTCCTCACTAATCAAAAGATAACTTTCTTTAAACACAGCAATCCTCACTGTATCTTTTCCAAGACCTTCCAGAGATGACGCTGAGTCTGCTAGCGTGTACAATGGAGAGGCCTGACCCTGGAGCACACTCTCTATTTGAAAGGACTTTTGACACACGTGGTGAGATGTTAATTCAATAAACTTCATCTCTTACCCTATAGTTGGGTTGATGTTCGGGTCAAAACTGTCTTCCACGAACCGCCATACAATACTTGATTTACCCACACCCGTGTCCTGAAAGAGAATGCAATGAGTGAGTATGGTTCATCCGCTTGCAAACCTGAAAACTACCATGTGTTGAAAGTTCAGGATTTCAGGAAACTCATCTTGGATAAATTTTAGAAGTTAAGAGACACAAGGGGAGGGGGGTTGTCCAATAAAGATTCAGTGGGAGTAATGAGAGGGGTTTTGCAGTTTTTAAGACTTTGCGACCTTTCCAAAGACCCAAAGTTTCTGCTTCTTGTGAACAGCGCCAAACTCACTTGCTTTTTAACTGTAGGAAGTAAAGGGGCAACTCTTGCATTACTTTTGGGTCATCCTGGACGGGGAGGGGAAAGGCTGGTTTGGGGAACCCTTTGGTGGAGCCCAAGAGGGCAACCCTGGCAAGCGCGCCTGCCAGTGGCCCCGCCAACCCTACGGGACAGGAAGCGGTCCTGACTTGAAGGTCCCGCAGCAAAGTGAGTGTGAGAAGTGTCAGGGCCAGTCCACAAGTTCAAACACACCGAGCGGACAGGGAAGGCTGCTCATGCTGCTGGTAGGACCCAAGGAGCGGCTGCTGTTTGACTTTAGGGGACTTGGCCAACTTTAGTACCTGAGTAGGAAACTATTTGACAAGGGGGGACAGGGAGGGCTCTCCGCCCTTTGGGGGCGGGAAGAGACCTCGGGCGCCGACAGGGACTGGAGGGTCCCTCCTGCCGGCAGGAGGGGTGCAGGGAGGGTCCCGGGCTGGAAGGCGGTGTCCCGCGCGGAGGCTGAAGGCAGGGCGGGAAGGACGCAGGCACGCCCGGTCCCCGGCCCGCCCGGCCTCCCGCGGCCCTCCCGGCCGGCCCGCCGCCACTCACCCCCAGCAGACACACTTTGAGCTCCCTCAGCGCCATGGCCCCGGAGCCGGGGCGCGGGCCCGCCGCCGCCCTAAGTTGAGGAGGGACAGGCCGGGGCCCGCACGAGCATTCCCCTGCGCCGCCGCCGCCGCTCGGCCCAGCCCCGGCCGCCGGGCGTGCTGACGCGGCGGCCGCCCGTTCGCCGGCTCTCGAACCCGGTCCGTCCGCCGCCAGCCGCGCGAAACTCGCTTCAGCAGCCGGGACGGTGCCTAGGCCTCCCGGGCGCCGCCGTCGCCGCCATCTTGGGACGCCGGCCGGGTCACCTGACCTCCCCGCCCACCTCGGCAGCCACCTTAGCCGCGAGGGCGGGGCCGTCCGGCGCCGCTAGGCTCGTGGGAGGTGCGGGCCGGGGGCGTGGCCGGGGCGCGGGGGCGTGGCCGGGAGAGCTGGCCCCGCCCCCGCCTCGGACCACGCCTCCAAGCCCATCCCAAGATGGCGGGTAAGTGGGGTCGAGCTGTGGGGGCGTCGGGGCGACCCCTTCCTCCTCAGCGGCGCCCGCCCGGCGGGGCCCGGGACCCTGGCCGCCGCGGAGCCCGCCGGGGCAGCTCCCTCGTAACTCCGTGTCTCTTGGCTTCCAGAGATCCCCCTGTACTTTGTGGACTTGCAGGATGACTTAGACGACTGTAAGTAACAGTTGGGGCGCCCCCGCCCTGGCCACGTCTCTCAGAGTTCGGGGCGCACAGGACGGACCCTTTTGGTTGGGACCCTAGGAGCTGGATACCCCCCCCCCCCCCGACTGACTTGACCCGCTGGTGGCGGCCCCTCCTCACGGGGCGGGGCGGCCGAGGATGGGGAGCCCTCCCCTCCCGGGTAAGAGTTTGGTTGTTGGGCAACTTCTAACTTCCTGTCACTTTCTCCTCCTCCTCCTTTTTATTCTCCTCCATCTCCTGGGGCAGCTCTCCAGGGTCCCCACGTCCTCCAGGGGACTTCTCAGAGTGCCTGGGAGTTGGGGGCGGGGATCCCGCTCTCAGTGTGGGACTTCTTAGGGGTCCTAGGCACCAGCCCCGCTCTGTTGATCACTGGCCCCGACGTTTTTGGGGTGCGTCTCCTTCTCCTTTCCCCACCTGTCACCTCATTCCCTTTCGCATCCCTGTGAGGACTGATGGCTGGGGGAGAGGTCATCCTGGACGTGCAAGTCCACCTTGGTGGCGAAGGAAGCTCCCCCTTTCCATTCATCAAACGGTTCTTGAGCACAGACTTGTTCTGGACCTACACAGGTGTACCCGGGTCAGGCAGCTCCCTGTCCAGGGGGAGAGCACGCTGGTAAACATAAAAGTTCACTAATTCCGGCCTGTGAAGGGCCTGTGCCAATCATCCAAACAGCTAACTTTAATGGAAGTCACCCGCTGCTCTTCCCTTTTCCATCTCCAAAGCGTTGGTGTTTAAAGATTAGGAGCATGGCTTCTGGAGTCAGATGGCTAGAGGGTGAAATCCTGTTCCACTCCGAGCCTCAGTGGCCTCATCTATAAAATGAGCATATTAGTGATCCAAAAAGGCTTTTGTAAAGGTTAAATTAATAAAAGGCTTACTGTGAAGCCTTGTAAGTAACCCTTGGTAAATATCAGCTGCCATTACTATAGTTGTTAATATTATTTTTAATAATCCCTTGTTGTTGAAAGTATCACTTATGTCCCTTTTTTCCCCATTTTCCCGCTCCAGCCTGCCCTGCCCCCACCTCAGACCATCACCACCCCGTTGTCTTGTTCATGGGCCATGTATATATTCACACAAAGTCTTTGGTAGATTGCCTCCCATCCTCCCCTGCCTTCCCTTTGAGAGATTTCACACTCTGTTCCATGCTTCCATGTCTCTGGATCCACTCCGCTCATCAGTTTATTTTGTTACTTAAATTCCACATGAGTGAGATCATGTGCTACTCGCCTTTCTCTGACTGCCTTATTTCACTCAGCATGATACTCTCCAGGACCCTCCATGCTGTCTCAAAGGGTAAGAGATTCTTCTTTGTTACTGCTGCACAGTATTCCATGGTATAGAGGTACCACAGGTTTTTATTCACTCATCTACTGATGGGCACTTGGGCCGTGTCCAGAAGTTAGCTATTGTAAATTGTGCTGCTATGAACATAGGGGTGCATACCTTCTTTCTGATTGATGCTTGATTCCATTGTATGCTCTTGCCTCCTTTGTCAAATATTATTGAGTGTAATGGCTTGGGTCGATTTATGGTTTCTATTGCTCTATATGCTTGTTCTTGTGCCAGTACCAGGCTGTTTTGATTACGATAGCTTTGTAGTATACTTTGAAATCTGGTATTGTAATTCCTCCAACTTTGTTCTTCGTTCTCAAGATTGCTGCAGCTATTCAGGGTCTTTTTTGGTTCCATATAAATTTTTGGAGTATTTGTTCTAGATCTGTGAAATATGCTTTTGGTATTTTAATAGGGATTGCATTGAATTATAGATTACCTTGGATAGTATGGACATTTTAATGATGGAGATTCTACGAATCCATGAACATGGTATATTCTTCTACTTGTTTATATCTTCTGTCTCTTTTTTCAATGTCCTGTGGTTTTCCAAGTACAGGTCTTTTGCCTGCTTGGCTAAATTTATTCCTAAGTATTTTAATTTTTTGTTTCAATGGTAAATAGGATTGCTTATTTAGTTTCTCTTTCTGAGAATTCATTATTGATATTTTAAAAGGTATTTGATTATTAGGTTTTGAATTTGTATCCTGCTACATTTCCAAATCCATTTATTAAATCTAGTTGGAGTCTTTAGGGTTTTTTATGTACAATATCATGTCATCTGCAAATAATGAGACTTTTACTTTCTCCTTTCCAATTTGGATGCCTTTTATTTTTTTGTTTTATCTGATCTCCATGGCTAGGACTTCCAGTGCTATGTTGAATAAAAGTGTAAGTGCCCATAAGCAGATGAGTGAATTAAAAAACCGTGGTACATCTACACAATGGAATACTACACTGTGGTTAAAAAGAAGGAATTCTTACCATTTGCAACAGCATGGATGGAACTGGAGAGCATTATGCTAAGTGAAGTAAGCCAGTCAGAGAAAGCTAAATATCACATGATCTTACTCATTTGTGGAATATAATGGACAACACAAACTGAACAAGAACAGATTCAGAGATAGAGAAGCATTGATCAGACCATCAAACCTCAGAGGGAAGGTAGGGGAGGGCGGTGGTAAGAAGGAAAGATCAACCAAAGGACTTCTTATATGCATGCATATAAGCCTAACTAATGGACACAGACACTAGGGGGGTGAGGGCATGAGTGGGGATGAGGGTGGGGAAGGGCAATGGGGGACAAGAATACATATGTAGTACCTTAATTAAAAAAATGGTGAAAGCAGACATATCTGTCTTATTCCTGTTCTTAGTTTTTACCCATTGAGTCTAATGTTGGCTGTAGGTTTGTCATATATGGCCTTTATCATGTTGAGATATGCTCCCTCTATTCCCAGTTTGCTGAGAATTTTTATCAAAAATGGGTGTTAGATTTTGTCAAGTGCTTTCTCTGCATTTATTGATATAATCATGTGATTTTTGTCTTTCATTTTGCTTATGTGATGTATCCTGTTTATTGATTTGTGAATGCTGTAGTGGTCTTGCATCCCTGGAATAAATCCCACTTGGTCATGGTGTATGATCTTTGTAATATATTGCTGGATGAGATTTGCTAATATTTTGTTGAGGATTTTAGCATCTATGTTCATCAGGGATATTGGCCTGTAATTTTATATCTTTGTGGTGTCTTTATATGATTTTGGAATTAGGGTAATGCTGGCCTCCAAGTTTCCTAATAATAGGAATTGGTGTTTATAGTTTAAATCGTTTAGGCAAGAGGATGGGGATTTCTTCTTCTTCTTCTTTTTTTTTAATGGATTAGTATCTTTTTTTAAATTTAATAAATCTTTATTGTTCAGATTATTACAATTGTTTCTCCTTCTTCTCCCCCCCCACCCCCCGTAGCTCCCCTCCACCGGTTCCCACCCCACCCTGTGCCCTTACCCCCCCCCCCCCCCCAACTGTCCTCATCCATAGGAGTATAATTTTCAGTCTCTTCCTGCACCCCCCACTCCCTTTTCCTCCTGAGAATTATCAGTCCTCTCTCTTTCTATGACCCTGATTCTATTATACTCACCAGTTTATTCTGTTCATCAGATTTTTAATTCACTTTATTTTTAGATTAACTTATTGGTAGATATGTATTTGTTCATAATTTTTATCTTTACTTTTTTCTTCTTCTTCCTCTTCTTAAAGAATATCTTTCAGCATTTCATATAATATTGGTTAGGCGGTGATGAACTCCTTTAGCTTTTTCTTATCTGTGAAGCTCTTTATCTGCCCTTCAATTCTGAATGATAGCTTTTCTGGGTAGCTTAATCTTGTTTGTAGGTTCTTGTTACTCATCACTTTGAATATTTCTTGCCACTCCCATCCGGCCTGCATAGTTTCTGTTGAGAAATCAGCTGACAATCATGGGTGCTCCCTTGTAGGTAACTAACTTTTTCCATTGCTGCTTTTAAGATTCTCTTTTTGTTTTTTGCTCTTGGCATTTTAATTATGATGTGTCTTGATGTGGTCCTTAGGATTCCTTTTGTTTGGGGTTCTGTGGGCTTCCTGGACTTGTAAGTCTATTTCTTTCAGCAGGTGGGGGAAGTTTTTGGTCATTATTTCTTCAAATAGGTTTTCAGTATCTTGCTCTCTCTCTTCTTTTGGCACCCCCATAATTCTGATGTTGGTATGCTTGAAGTTGTCTCAGAGGCTTCTTACATTAATTTACTTCAAATTTTTGGATTCTTTTTTTGTTTTGTTTTTCTGGTAATGAGTGTTTTTTTGCTTCTTTGTATTTCAAATCTTTGACTTGACTATTATGTTCCTCTAATCTGCTGTTGGGTCTCTGTATAATATTTTTATTTCAGTTAGTGTATGTTTAATTTCTAGTTGGTCCTTTTTCATATCCTCGAGGGTATTGCTAAATTTATTGGTCTTTTCTAGGAAATTTTTTTTGTTTTTGTTTTTAAATATATTTTTATTGATTTTACACAGAGAAGAATTTGAGAGGGATAGAGAGTTAGAAACGTCGATAAGAGAGATACATTGACCAGCTGCCTCTTGCACACCCCCCACTGGGGATGTGCCCGCAACCAGGTACATGCCCTTGACCGGAATCAACCCAGGACCTTTCAGTCTGCAGGCCGGCGCTCTATCCTTTGAGCCAAACCGGTTTCGGCTCTAGGAAATTCTTGAGTAATCTTATAACCGTGGTTTTAAACTCTATATCCAGTCATTTGTTTTCCTCCATTTCTTTTGTTTGTGATCTGTTTCTTTGTCTCTGCATTTTTACTGCTTCCCTGAGTTGGTAGGATAGCTTTGTGTACTAGGTGTCCAATATGGCACTGTGGGCTGGCTTCCCCAGTTACCAGAGGTGGATACTCTTGGTGCACCCCTTTG